ATAATTTTGGTACTTTCTCGCTCACTTTTAATGTGACGGCCGGACGGAGATGCTCAACAATATAAATCCGCAAATGCCAAAATGTTCCCACGACGCCGCTCGTGCATAAAAATTTATTACTGTTTCGGTCCGAGAGCGGTCACTCTCTCGTAATCAGCGGTCAGGCCACTTTTGCTCAATCAGCTTACTTTTTTTCTACATAATCTCCGTCGCACTCGTCGCCGCAAATCGGAGCATCTTCATTCCAAGCACCTGCTACTTTTATCAAGTTTGTTTCTTGAAAGCGAAACTTGCAGTTTGGAGAGATGCGCACTCATTTTTTTCACTTGATTGGCCACTCGATTCAAAAGTGACTCTTTAACTCTCATATTCCCACACTTTCATTTGGAATGTGTGTGCTTTTTTCGTGTCGAGCAGTAAAATCATATCTTAATGCTTCAATGAGCTTAACGCGATTAATGACTTTTAAGATTTGCAGCTTAAACGTTTCAGTGAAAAGAAACGTTGCAATTTTTTAAGCAGCGTAAAACTAAGCTTTTCAAATTTACGTTTTAACTTAATATTATAATTTAACACATATTAATTATAATTATTTATAACATTTCGTCATTTAGTTTATTTTATTGGTAATTATTATTGTTTTTTTTTATTTCAATCAAATAATTTTAAAGGCAACGATATAATGAATCTAAATTTATGTGAACTAATATTAAATATATAAATAATTTAATACTTATTAAATAATAGTCATCATGGCATCAATAACTTGAAATAGAATAATAAATTCAAATTCTGATGACAGCTCCAGGTTAGCAGTTCAATATTTATTATCCTTCAATGATCATTTTAATTTAAAAAAAAAATTATATTACCTAAATTACACCTCTGTAGACAGATAAATGGTTGAAAGATTACGGGTCAATATCAATAAGCAGGGATTGTGTAGATTTTGCAGGATTTCGATTAAATTACACTTATATCTTATTGTTCTAACAAATTTCCTTGCGAAAATAGTAAGGGTTCTTGCAATATGTTTAAAGAAGTTGACACTCAAGGAGATGATCATGGAAAAGCCCGACTGTTTTTGCAATACTTTGATATTTACGTCTACGAGTTAAAAAAATTGTCAATCGATTACTTTCAATACTTTCGTATGAAGAAAATGTGTTGAAATTATCGAGCTACCCGTTTTAATCACTAAAAACAATCCAAACCACTTTCATATGCGCTCTGGGGGCCGATTTAAGCCATTCTTTGAAAAAGTCAGGCGTGGATCAATTTCCCTTATCAAAAAGGTGCGGCCGGCGTATGGTGTGAACCTAATTAAATCGGCGCGGCCCCATCTGAGAAAAGCCCTTTGATGGCTTTTGGTTTTTGATTACAATCGTCGCCCCGTTTCGCTTCTTTCACTCGCGCCCAGTCGCGGCTGCGGCGGCACAGATAAAATTATTAAACACGTCGATCTGAGATTGGCGATAATTATTTTTTGCACCGCGTTTTTGGCCGCGGCCCGCGATCTGATCAAAAGTGAATTCAACTCGGTCCCGTTACCTGCGCTTGTACCTGGCGCGTTTTTTGCGCGAACCGTGTATGTGTGCACACTTTATCTTCATATATTATTATTATGATTACGGCCAATTATGCATGCACACTCTCGAGAGCAAAATTTCGTGCTCGGGAAACACCTGCGATGGGCGCTTTTATTATTTTTATTGCGGCTGAGAAGGCAAAGAAACCCGACACCCAAAAGTGCTGGCCAAACAGATCCTATCATTGTGCACAAAAAGTGTGCAGAACGCGCCAATTTACATTTTTTCCTCCAAAATAACTTCTAAGATTCTCGCCCTTGCTTTGAATTCTATTGGCCAAATCACATTTTTTTCCTTGATCAAATGACTCTTGTTCAAAATTCTATAGTTGGTTATTGAAAAGATTGACTTCCATTTAAAATTAATTGCATTATAGTCGACATATTTCATTGTTTTGCTGTAAAATTTTGGTCTAAAACGTCTTGAACGTCAACTTTTGGTGAATATTATTAATTATTTTTTTTTTCTTCAGAAAATTTGTCTCCGTAAGTCATAATTCATAATTATATTCACACAGACTAACACGTCCACATCATCCATATTCCATTAGAAAGGTACCAGCAAAATTTTCATGCATAGCCGGCCATTATAATTATAAAAGATTAACTTTTGCGTGCAATTTAACAAGAAATCATATAGTTGAAAACTATTGTTGTTGTTTAACTGTCCAAATTAAAATAATAAAATATGTTAATTATAAATAAAATAATAATTGCTTTAATAAATAAGAATAAATTCAGCAATTTTATTATTCTAGTAAACGTTTTAAGCTTATTTTAAAATTGCAATATAATGTAAAAAAAATATTTGTGAGCGCCACGAGGGCAGGTCAGTGCTCCAATGCCAAACACACATAGCCGTTCTGCAACATGCCCTGCGATTCATCATCCGCGAATGAACCGTAATGTAAATGTGCTGGTCAGCGGCTAATTTTTTTTATTCGGCCGGTCGTTCGCTCGTTCGACCGGCCGTTACGCAATCATGAAAAAGGAGAGCGATCGACGATTGACAGACATTACAAGCTGGTAAAAAAATACAAGTCGGCTTCTGTGCTGACCGACCGGGCAGCGCAGAGAAAGTGCCGCGAGAAAGATCTTGTCCTTGATGCGCGGCCGTCGCTTTTGGCAAACGGGCCAAATAGAGCACGAGCAGATTTTGCCGCGAATTAGCATTTCAAATTAATGTCATGCAAATCGCGCGCGTATTAACACATCTGGCGATCGACTTGGTACGCACCTCATAAATCAATCCGAAAATCGAAAATATGGAAATATTTATGAATTCACGTCCGCGCATCGACTGCTGGGAAAAAAACCAGCCGCATAAATAATGGCACTCGCCTGGCGCTTATAAGAAGTTGATTAAAATTTTAATTGTGAGCTAAGTTGCCCCGGCAAGGTGGGTCATAAAACTGCGTGGAATTCGCTAATGCATAAATTATATGGAGGTTCAGGAATTAAATCTGGCGGATCATAACAATTTTTATTATACGGGTGGAATGAAATTCTATAAAACTGTTGCTGTGTTCTTAAATATGCGCTTAAAAATATACTTTCATCAGAACTTTCAAAACATTGTGTCATTTTTATTTCATGCATATTCAATTTTCTTGAAGTTCCCCTCAGGCCAATTAGAGATTAATTAAATTTTTGAGCTTATTCATCTCGGTTGGTAATTTAATTGGTAGAATAAGAATATAAAGTTATCTAAACAATATAAATAGCCCTATTATAATTATTTTAATGAACATTTTGTGATTTTAATTAAAATATAAATATTATGCAAAAGTTTATGTGAAATTTTGCTTATGTATACAACTAATGCCGTTGAACTTTTTTTTTTAATAATAATCGTCTTGTTTTAACCACAGGGTAGAATTATAATTGTTTACCTAATAAAAAATGACAGTAATGTAAGATTTTAGTAATTTTATATTGGAAACAAAATTTCAAATCATTTAAATTTCATAATCGGTTCACGTCTCAATTCAGCCGCATAGCAACCAATAACCACTGCATTATTTGTTGATACACATGAATCGAATAAAAAAGCCCTGGCCAATAATTGGCCATTGACCCTGGGATAATCAAATGGGCTGCATAACTGGAGCTTCCTCGTGAGCATTCTACGAAAGCTGACGTCCTACTTGCAATCAATCGAACTTTCTTAATAATGAGTTTTAATTCCTGGGAATCCCAAGCACCTTCTTTTATCAACGAAGCGAGTATATTACAATGCAAATGAAGCTACACATATAGAAAAATGTACTTGAAAGGAAGTTTATATAAAAAAAACATGCATCTTTCACCGTTTCAATCCTATTATAAGATTCAATCAATAATTCAACTAAGATTATGCTATTAACCAAATTTTAAATATTTTTAACTGTAAATATCTTTTGCATTACAATTGATTTAGTTTTAAATTAATTTTTTAATCAGTTTTAATTTTAATTAGACTCGACCCAGTAAATAGTAAATTTGCAACTAAAAATTTTGCCAAAAGAGTTTTTAACCTTTTCAGTCGGTCACAAAATCAAGCACCAGGCGTTTTATTTTCTATTCTTCCTATTGTTTATTGTTGATAGAACCTCAAAGCTAAAAATTTGGTCTTCAAAATTGCCGTGTGAATTTCGCTAAAATTATTTCTACAGCTATTGTGAACGTTTTTGCAGGTGATAAGGCTGAATAATCTTGGAAAGCCATACAAGTTGCACCCAATTTTCGTACAATTGAAATTCCTCAAGTCACAGGTGTTCAAGTGAGCACGAATTAATTTCTATTTTCCCAGGCATAAATAAATATTTAAAATATGCGTGTCCTCATCAATAATCAATCGCGGCGGCTTCCTCACAAGTCTCGGCGGGAATGCGAGGGATTGTAATTTCGAGTGCGTGGGCCCGTGTTTACTCCAAACAAGCGAGAATCAATTTGCCGTCGTCGACTCATTCCCAGAATCAATCATGCATAATCCATGAGCGGCCGCGAGCGATTACCAACAAAAAGCCGAGAAAAAGCGGCGGCGGCGTGCGCCTGATCGCTCGGCGAGGGAGCGCCTCTCCTCAAATTTGACGCCCGCTCTCCAATTTTCGATGTAAAATCCAACAAGGTTCGCTGACTGATTCAGATTTACGACACCTGATTGCCCGGTGGGGGTGTAGATTAAAGGGTTATACAATTTGAGCATCTAAAACTGCTTGAAATTGTGGTGAAAAGTGTTTGTTTCCAGCAATAAATCAAACTAACTCAAGTCAAAAGAAATATTGTATTTATATATATTTTTTTTACAATAATTATTTTATTTTTTGTATTCATGAAAACTGTAAAAAATTACAATTTTTTTTATCAACATTGCAAATTTAGTATTTTTTTTTGTAATTTCTTTTATTTTCAAATTTAAGACCTTCAATATTCGTCTATTATTTTATGTTAGGCCTCAGAATAAAAGTTCTTTTTGCAGTAATTACATAATTTGGTTTTTGTTTGTATTTGTTGTTGTTGTTGCTATAATAGTGAAGGAATTGTTTTCTATAATATGCATTACTTAAATCTTATTTTTAGACAATTTCTCAGGAGTTGTAATTTTTAAAAAAAATTAAAAACAAAAATATTCATGATAAATGTGGCTGCAAATAGAAATTACAAATAATTGGACATTAAATTTTTCTATAGTTTAACTTTTTTGTTTCCATGATTAAAATTTAACTTTCTTTATTTAGCTTACATAATACTTTTCTAAGGTATTCCGGTGCATCACTCACCACAGTGGCATTCGACTTCTGGAATTTTTTGCCTCTTTTGAACACTTGATCAAATAAAAAGCGCTCTTCTCTAATCAAACATCATCTTCTCGAGAGACGTTTCTCGGATTTACAAGCTGTTTGCGCATTTTCCGCCGCTTCTGTGTTGCCGCAGCTTTTCTCTCTTTCAAAGAGCACCGCATCAGTCGTCGTAATAAAAAAAAAGTGGTCAGCAATCAGGGCCGAAGCTGGCGCAACTAAATTGAGGCCACGTGAATGGCAAATTAATAATTAAGTTATTGTCGGCGGTGGCGAAAAGGCTGTGCGTCGCAAGCAGACCACTTAATTCGCAATTCGCCAGCACCGAGAATATAACAAACAAATGCCCTAAATATTCGCTTGCACCGGTCACTCGTTAATTGAGTTACTAAAACGACCTGTTTGTACCAAATTAAGGTATAAATTGAAGCAAATTTTATTTTTTTAATACTTCTAGAAAAATGCTATAAATTTTCTGGTTTAATTAAATTTTTAGTCTAAACGGCATTCTGAAGTTAATTCACAGATAACATTTGACACGGATGAGCAGGAATAGTCAAACAAACTCGCAAGGCTTGGAAACAATCCAACGCAATGCTCTGAGCCGTCATTGTCAACTGGATAAGCAGAACTCCACCATTCGTGTCCCTTTTCAATAATCTTTCCATTTGGCCACATATAACGTCCTTCTTGGGTCCCATCTTTTGTAGCGGAAAGCCAAAAGCCATCTGCAAAACAATATTTATTAATCGTAATTAATTAAGAAAATATTGCATAATTTAATTTACAATGTGGTTTGTATGTATTGGTTATGAAATGTGATAAAGAAACCAATTCGCTCTTGGATTCAATCGTGACAAGGCTGGCTCTCCTCTCCTCGCAATATGATTTTGACTTGGCCCAAGTAAACATCTAGAGTTTTTTTAATGAAAAATAAAATTTATATTATTTATATTGTTGATGATCTCTTACGTGATTTGCATCATAGTCAGGTTTTAAAAAGTATCTTTTCTTTCCTACATTTATTATATTTGTCACATTGTAGAACGCATCTAGGAATGCATTAAAATTAATTTTGAATTTTTTTACTAGCAACATTACTCACAATATTTAAAGCATAGTAGTTCCTGTTTCAGTACAGCTTTCTGCAAATCATGTTTTTTAGTTATTTAAATATAAATGTATGGAGAATTAACAGAAAAATATAAGAATTATTTATATTATTTACCTTCATTTCATCATTTTCGCGCTCTTCTCTTATAATTGTTAGCGAATTTATAAGTTTTTTCAATTCATCATCGATGCTCACTTTTGCCTTACTCTCTGCCTGCAGGGTTTTTTTGTTTTTGGGAATGAATATACTTTTCAGTTATCATCCCGGGATAGCATTGCTTTTATCCAGGGAGGATGACTGAAGAGAAAATCGCCCAGCATTATTATTTATTATGCTATGCAATCCCAAAGATAAAAAAAATTTAATTTTACTGTAAACGCTGCAAACAACTCGTTTTGCAAGTTTGACAACTGACTCAAATCGCCCTTTAGTTTCTCATCCCTCTGACGATCCAGTTCTTTTCCCTCATCAAGCTTTCCTTTCATTCCATCAAGTCCATGTAACACCTTAAAAATGATTTAAATTAAAGCTTACGATAATTTTGAGCAAATTACCTGCAGTGTGCAATTTTTAGCATCTTCGCTTTGAGTCTTCAGCTCGTGGATTGCTGATTCTATGAGATCTAAGTCTCCTTTCTGGATTCTGCGTGAAAAATTAAGCAATGTGCTATTAAAAACGAAAAGAAGTTTTAATTCTCACTGGTTCATAGATGCATCAAAAATCTTTTGAAAAAACTTGCCGATCTCCACGGAATCCTGAAAATTGAACTTTTGAAATTAATTTTACGGCTTAATTCCATATAAAAACTGTATACATGTTATACTTCAATTTCAATATTAATTTTGGGCTCATACTTTAAATTTGTATTTTGCTGAACTTTGATTGTTTTTCATCAATTACACGGCAAGTTTTATAAAACAGAAAAAAATTGAAAGCAATTTTGAAAGGAATTTTTTTTTTTTTGACAATAAAGGGATATAATCCAATCAAATCCCTTAAAAACATCACTTTGTCAAAAATTAATTCAATGTACCTTAAAAAATATTGAAACCGGGCTTAACTTCAGTTATATATCCATGCTCTCTAGTAAAAATTTAAATGATTTTACACTATACCTCCGTTTTTGCTGATGTATTATGGTGACACATAATTATCGTAACCACAGCCAAAATGAAGGAAATATTCCGCATGATTATTATTTGGAAAATAAATTTATAGGGCAAAGCTGGTCGCTTCGTCTATGAGGCACAAAGTAGTACTGCTCGGCCCAACAAGAACGGATTGCACAGTTGAACTCGACGATGACTAAATGTCTTTTGTTTGTCAGTCTCATTAGCAAGAGGTCGAATGTCACGGCCGGACTTGCTCTAAATTTCAAAGGACCAAAAGACGCAAGTTTTAAAAAACAAAAAAATAAAGCCCAATAATTTGTGTGGCGTCATTTCCATTTTTAATCTTAAAGTGCCATAGGAAAAGAAAGAGACTATTGACTAAATTATTTTCAGATATATTGCGTGAGAGGTGAAATAGTGTCGTTTCCCACCTACTCAGGTGTCTTTTGAAATCGTGGTGTCAGATTTGGTGGGTGAATTATTTCGTTTTAATTTGTGCATTGCATGCGTCCTAACAAGGCTCATTGATCGTGCGGCGTTTTATCAAAATGTAAACAGATAATCCATTATTAACAGCGTAATTAGCGACATAAATGACGGGCTTGCAACTTCCTGAAATAATATTTATTTCATACTCCGAGTTATTTTGCAACAAAATTGATCATTACTAGGGTATCATTAGGTTTTTTTATCTTACTTTTATCCCTCTTGCCTGAGTGAATGATAATCCTGAGTTTGAAAGATAAAAGCTAGTAAATATTTTTTATTTCCCAAATAGAAATTACAAGTTCATATATTTCCATTACTAGCTCTAAAAATTTACTCGTTAACAGATTTACATTTTATGTTATCGTTAGTCCAATTGACATTCTGAAGTCAATTCACAAATAACATTTGTTGTTCGTGAGCAAGTGTCGTGAAAAAGACTTTGATTTCTCTGCAACCCAACGCAGTGCTTTTGATTGATTTTTTCCAATTTGGGATGACCAGAGCCCCACCATTCATGGCCTTCTTCAATGACCTTTCCGTTTGGCCACACATAACTTCCAGCTTGGTTCCCAATGCTTTCAGCAGCAAGCCAGGCACCATCTTCAAAATTACAAAAATTATTCAAATTATTCTTTAGAAGCTAAAATAAATCTATAAATAAGTTACACTGTGTGAATGTAGTGCGTAAAAAATCTGACAAAGAAACCAATTCACTCTTGGATTCTATCGTAACCATGCTGCCTCTCCTCTCCTCACAGTATTTTTTTACATCGGCCCAGGAAAGCTATATTTGTGCAAAATTAAATTTTAAAGTAATAAGATTTTGAGAAATCTCTTAATTACTCTAACGCCGCTACTAGGTTTGAAAAAGTATTTCTTCTTTCCGATAGTAATAATATTTGTCACTTTGTAAAATGCATCTGGAAACTCGCAAATTATAAAATGCATTTTGTTATATATTATAAGTAATAATATTTCTCACAAAACTTGGAGCATAATAGTTCCTGCTTCAGTATAGCTCTCTGCAATAAAGTAATATGATAAATTATTCATATCATTGCATATTTTAATGTTAAGTAAATTATTCTCAGAATATTATTTAAAATGAAATTCATAGTACAGAGAAGCACCGATCTATAATTCTGATTGAAATAGCCGGACGGGAAATAGTATCAAAAATAAATATTTAAAAAAAAATACTCATTTACCTTCAACTTCAGTCCATTATCTTCGCTTTCTGATCTCACAATTTCTAGCGATTTGTCTATTTTGTTTAACTTTTCACCAATTCCCTCTAATGCCTTATTCCCTGCCTGCAGGTTAATTATTTTTACGATTTTATGCAATCAGCGTACGAAAAACATGATTTCTTACTGTAAACCACTCATTTTGTAAATTTGAGTAACGACTCAAATCACCCTTTAGTTTCTCATCCCTCTGATGATCCAATTTATTTCCCTCGTCAAGTTTTTCCTCAATTCTCTTCAGTCCTTCGAACGCCTTAAAAACAATTCAAATTTAAGCATGTGGTATGTGATTATATTTGCAAGAAAATTACCTGCAGTGTTAAATTTCTGCTTTCATCGCTTTGCTTCATCAACTCATGAGTTGCTGATTCTATAATTGCCAAGTCTTTTTTCTGGATTCTACATGCAAAATTATTTGGAAAAAAAATTATCACTCAATTATGAGACAACGTTGTAAATCTTACTGGTTCAAAGACGCTTCAAAAATCTTTTGAAAAAATTTGCCAATTTCCATGGGTGTCTGAAATTTTTACGCTATTAAAAGACTATTGTGACATTCCACGTTTTACATACTTTGATATCTGTCATGACGTGCCATTAGGCTCATAGATAAAATTTATATAATTATGTATATTTTTAAAATCTGTGTAAATAGCAGAAATATTTTGTATTCTCACTTTAAAGAAAAAAATTTTATTGTTTCTCTCCCAAAAAAGACATTAATGCAGCATAATTATTTGAGTAAAAATGATTTTTAATTAAAATCAGAAGTATTTCATGATTTCAAAACTTTTCTCTTAAGTAAAATGAATATTTATGTACACAATTATATTATTGCATTACCTCAGAGTGCGCCAATGTTTCATGATCACACATCAGGGTTATAAGAACAGCCACAACAAAGAAAAATTTCCCCATTATTTTTTTCTCTCGGAAAATTTGTTACTTGGTGAAAAGCTGGTCTTATCGGCTAAGAGACACAAAGCGTACTTTATGTAATGATACATCAAGACCGGCTTATATAGTTTGTCTCAAAGATAAAAATGAGGAAAAATTATGCTTCTCTGGTCATTCATTGGACTGACTATCATTAAAAAGAGGTCAGATGTGATGGACTTAATCAAACAATAATTATCAAAAGCCAAGACGAATCAAAAATATACATAAAATATTTTTTTCACATTTAATCTTAAGTGACGTCAAGGGCAGTAAAAATATTTTGCTTAATCAATTTTTTTTTGAGGAGAGAGCTGAAGTTGAATATATAAAAATAGTTTTGTTTGACTACCTAAACAGATGGGACTTTTGGTCTCGCGGTGCCCGATTTTGTGGATGAATTATCACGTTTTAATTCGTGCATCGAATGTGTCCTAACAAGGCCCATTGACCGCGTGGCATATTTATCGAAATGCAAACAGATGATCTATTATTAACGGCGTAATTTATGGGCGGGCTGGACGACATCTCTGTCTTATTTTTGGTTGTGTGGCACCGAAAAAAGGCGTCACCCCGAAAATAAGTGAATAAAATCATAAAAAAGCAGGGCCCGTGTTTGAGCAGATACATAATCGTGAGAGTTGCGCGCGGTTAATTTTAATGCGCGCCGCTGCATTTGAATGGCGACATAAATCACGGGCAATTCGCCGGCGTGTCTGTCGCCCACCTCGGCTGCTCACACACTTTTCGCGAAAGAAACGACGCTGCTTGTCCTTGGTCGTTTGCTTGTGTGCATCTCGCACGTCCATAAATTCGTCTCTCTTTCCCCGAGCCAGCGGCCGAGCACATTTAAATAAAATTATAATGCGCGCCGAAACTCTTTCATTGTGCGCTTATAAATCAGGTGCGCGCTGTGGCCGGAATAAAAGCAGCCACAACAAAGCACAAATAAAATTCGTTAGTCTTGTTGAACTTTTTCACGTTCATAAACATAAGAATAGTACTGTCGCCTTCACTTATTATTAATTAGTACTACAGAAGTTTTATCCTTGCACCGGATTAATAATATAAAATTTAGGTGCGGTTTGTGATTAAATTACATATTTTTTTATTTATTGTTGCAGAAAATTAATTTAAAAATAATTTTTCTTTAGAACTTTAATTAAAACCAAAATAAGTGTGTGATTTTAAATTTATATACAAGGTGTAATGATAATTTTAAATAATTTATCATATAAACACAGTAAAAATATTAAAATTTAAGAATTCAATGCAACATTTTGAATTCTTAAAAAATTAAATTTCAGTTTTCTTAATAGATTCGCATTTTTTTTTACATTTACTGTACAAGGAAAACTGAATTATTATTTGGTTTGGCACATATTTTTTTAAATCTGATTTTTGATAGGGTGACCTCGTGGACTGCGTCGGGGCAAAAGCATTAATATCAGTCAAACGCGTAATTAATGAACATTTTCCTCCTACTCCGAGATTAATTTAAAACTCGGCCGAGTGATTACAAGCGCGATTATTGGCCGCGATTCCATTGTTGGGGCGAGAGCGTGGGCATTGTTACAACGCATAAAACATCAGACAAACACACAGGATGAATGTATTATTTAATATTTCGAGTCCACCCATCGCACCCAGGCAGGGGTTAGTTAGTGCACGGCGCACATTAATATTGGGAATATCGGCGCGGATTTATCGGCTGGCGCGGCTTTATTACTATTTGGGCACCTGCTCGAAATCATTTTCAGAGCTGTAAATGAGTTGACGCCCTTTGCATCGGCCAGGCAGATTACGCCTCGTAATTGAATTATGCTAATGACACACACACATGAACGGTCTAGAAATAAACTAGTTCCCTTTGCTTATCTTTATTTTACTCCCAGGGTTTAATTTGCAAAGGGATTTTTTATATTAAAATTTTATAAACGAAGTCAGAAATCAATTAATAAATTTTTGTATTTTTTCCAATGCTCTTTATTTATCAATACAATTCCTTTTCTATACTCATTTCTTATATAGAATACTTATTTATTTTAAATTTGGTTGAGTCTGTACAGTTTGAAAATACCTGTAACCCCATCGCACTTGTTCATTTTATTCTTTTCATTAACATGAGTAAAACAAACAACATGAGTGAAAGCCAGAATTAAGCAAAGGTTGAACGATTCCATAGCACGTCTGATGTTTTAATAGACTAAATGAAGCAGCTCACGTCAGCAAAATGCATTTTGTATAATTATATGCGATATGATTTCCGTGATTTCAGCAGCATACTTTGATATAATATTTATGATACTTTGCATCTGACAGCGGAACTCATCAAATAACATTGTGCGCTGGCTTTGGAAAATATAGAGAGAGGTAAAAAGTTGCACGATTTTAAAAGCCAAAAAAAGTTGTCACGTCCGCTTAACTGCTAAATTGCAAAATAAAAAAAAAATAAACATTTATAAGAGCGTGGCAACAGTTTTGCTTAAATAATTGAACTAAAAAAATTAATAGCAATTAAACATAATTTAAGCATGAAAATGAAAATTCAATTCCTAGAAGTTACACAGAAATAAAAAATTTTAAATTAAAGGACCAAGCTATAAAAAGCATCATTGAGTATTTTTATTTTTCAATTCGTCTCACAATCAGACATCTCTGCGAGTGTCCACGCTAGCGCTTCCAAGGGAGCAGTTTCTCTTCCCTTATCGCCTTTTATGTTGGCGAAAAACGCACGCTTTTATATTTATTTCGTAGCAAAAGCTGCGGCGAATTTTAATTTTCCCACACCCACGGGGCGGAGAATCGGCGCGCGATAAGTTTTATATTTATTTTGCGCGCGAGTGAGTGACACCTTTGCAGATAGAACTTCTCTCTTGGTGTATTTGCATGTGGGAGTTCGCCGCGGCGGCAAGAGCAACAAGTGAGGCAGCAACGGCTACCGCGTGAGGCGGCGTGGGCGGCCCCCGAGGGGCGCGGCCCCCGCACTGTCAATTTTCGCCGTGCAAATAAATTTCCGCAGATATTGTCCCGATAATTGTTTTGCCTCAGACACTCTGTTTGTTTTTATGTTCCTTGAAAAGAGACACTTTTTCCTCAAAAGGTTAAGAATTATTTTTATTCTGTTGTGATGACAAAATAGAGGAAATAAAATTACATCATGGTCTGGTATAACATTGACTAAAAGTAATTGAAATTTGATTTACAAGTTTGACTTTAAATGGAAAAATTTGGAAAGTAACTCAGGTTTTAAATTTTTCATTATATTTTATAATTTACTTTTTTACAATTGAGAAAGGAAATTTTTTTATAATTTCACCATAATTTAGGACAGTTATATGTTCGGATCAAAAATAATATGTAACATAGCATGGATTTTGTTAAAGAAAATATCAATATTGCACCTTCCGCAAAATTGACAAATACCCAAGCAGAGATAAAAAAAACGAGAATGTTTTAAATTTTTAAGCCATTATTATATTTAATAAGCAAAAAAGTTAGTTAAAAGAATTGATTCCATAAAAATGAAGTATATTAAAAATTGGCTTGATTCCTCAATTAAAAAAAAAAAAAAAAAAAAATGCATGCTACTTTCTAGCTTAAAAAATTACAAAAATTACTTTCTTTTTTATGTTCCAGATAGCCTTTGAAATTTTATTCCACCGAAATCAGCTACGGTTTGTCAGAAAATAACATTTATTTTTAAAAAGCGGCATTTTTGTTTCCAAATTTGACTAATTTTCTCACGCCTCGCTCTGTGTGATTACTGTTGTGTAGCATCGAGAGAATTACAGTCCTGAAAACAATGTGTGACTGATGAAGCACACGTGAGCGCACTGCCAACGGGCACGCAGAGATTGAAAGTCAAGCGGCGTCCGCTCAATTATGAATATTTCCAGAGGCTCGACAATAAAATGCAGCAACAATAAGATTCCCTAGCTCATTTGGCCGCGGTCATTAATTAACTTTTCAAGCGCGGGCCTAATCATTAGTCATCCACGCACGAGAGGCTGGACCGCACAGATGGGCGTGCTGCCGACGATGAAAATAAAATAAAATATACTTCTCCTGCGGTAACACTTGTTGCTGCGTGTGTCTTATTAATTTATTTGTGTTGTGTACCTGCCCCGCCGGCGCGTATGACATTTCATACATGGGTGCGCTCAACAATTTTGCGCTCGCGCTCGCGCTCGCGATCACTGGCAACAGTGCGCTCGCGCTCTGCGCTCGCGCTCAAGATTTTGAAAATGTTGCGCTCGCGCTCTGCGCTCGCGCTCAAATTTTTAAAAAGTCTTGCGCTCACGCGTTGCGCTCAAAAATATTTTTATCCGAAGAAAAAGTGCGACTTTTTAGACAATTTTTTTAATATAACAAAAAATACATCGGCAATTGGAAATGATAAAGTTGAAGTTAAATCACCAAAATTGGGATCAGTTTTGAAGTTTTTGGTATAAAAACACTGTTTTTCATTACAATTTTTGATCAAATTCGGGAATTTTTACTTTTGGTTTGAGCGCAAAATGAGCGCAATTGAGCGCTGCGCTCAGCGACCAATGCGCTCGCGCTCTGCGCTCGCGCTCACGATTTTGAAAATAGTGCGATCGCGCTCTGCGCTCGCGCTCATGAGCGCAGAGCGCGAGCGCAGATCGCAGAGCGCAAAGTGCGCTCTGCCCATGTATGTGACATTTATATCGGTGCAAACCCATTTTCCGTTTTATGTTCGCTCCGCCGGCCATTAATTCGCGTTTATTGTTAAATATACACGCCTTGTTGCTCGCTCCGATGCCAAGAGGGCCATTCCAGCAGAAACTCCGCCAATCTGCAAAGGATGAGAAATAGCAAAGCAATCAATTCAATAATAATATATAAGGTTTATTACGACTGCTTAAAAAATAGCATTAGAATTAAAACCCAATAAAATAACATTGTGTATTAATCTTAATAATTTAAATAATTTTTTCGTTTTGTTTTACTTGCCGACACCAAAATTTCTTATAACTGTCAATGTTGTATCTTCCAATTTATATAATTTAGTATCTTTGTCACCTGCAAGATCAAATTAGATTTTAATTTAACAGACACTTGCACTTACTTAACTGTTTCATGAACTTTTAATTTTTACATTGTTTATTTTTCATTGTCCTTGCAAATCTCCCGCTCGAAATATAATAGGTGTTAAAAGTTTGACTCAACAAGGTTTAGCCTAAAGACCGATTTCTCTGCTTGGCCCATCACCGGTCGGAAATTGTGTGAATTTCTCTGTCGGCGGCGTTTTTGAAATAAGTGTGGCCGGCGGCCGAAGAACGGCCGCCCTGGCCGCGGGTGACGTCGCGGCCGATAAGCGCGGCAAATTATTTATTAGCGCCCGGCTCGTTTAGGCTGCCCTGTAATTATCGACCATTAATAAATCCTCATTACCCGGATTGGCCGCGCCGCTTTTTCTCTACTTCGAGTCGGGTGTGTGTGTCAACAGCACACACTCAATAAAACCGAACCGCGTTTCTCTCTCTTCCTCTGCTCCATCAAAATATACACTCTGATAATGATTGCTGCGCTGCGCTAAGTGGCCCTTGGGCCAAAGTACCAATATCTTTCGACACCGAGAGCAATTGCGGCCGCGTATCAAAACCTGCTAAAACTGCTTTTCTGAGAAAAATCACCTCCAATCAGCAGAATGAGCGTTTAAGTCTCCATATAAAATGTAATTGGCACAAGACGCTCATTAAAACGGCTCTTTAAATTTGTCAAACGTTATCTAATCCGGTAGCCACTTTAGTATGCGACTAGTTTATTAATAATTTGGAACTGGAAAGGCAGCTTACGTGCTTCATATTAAATTTATAATAAGACGAAACAACTTAAGAAGGAGGAAATAATTTAATTTGTGCAATTTGAAATGTACAAACTAAAAAAATTTATTTTAGAAACATAAAGTTTTAATGTTAGTTTTTTTTTTATTTATTTTTGTATGGTAAATATTTTTAAATTAATAATTTAATGCAAAAGATTGAGCTTATTGTGTTTTGTACTTTTGTTGACGTTTTAAAATAAAAATTGTTTTCTGCAACACTCATAAATTTTGCAAGCTCTCTTCCATCTCCTCAGCCCTCACCTAATTCATTATTGATTCCGATATTTCCGATTGATTCCATTTTTCATTTTGGTTTTTAGTTATGTGCACTAAATGAATTAGTTAATTAGGAAAAAATTTAAATTCAAAAATTAATTTTTTTCAAGTTTGGTTGAAAAACTATAGGAATAATAAATCTTTAATTAGCTTTTGTTTTGCAACCTTCACTAATATTAAATCAGTATTTTGAAAGATTAAAAATTCAATCATAATGTAGCGTCTAAAAAAAAAATATAATAATAATTTTTCTGGCCATATTCAACGTAATCGCCAGGAGGTTATTCAAGTTCATTTTTTAGCAGTCCGATTTTGGTGATGTCCTCGGTCAACTTGTCCAATTCCGGCCGCACAGGCGAAAATCCTCCAGGTGCGCACGCGGGGGCCGAGACTGAGGAGAGTCGCTCGTTCGGGGCGGAATGAGTGCATTTAATCACGGCCTGATTTTGAATAATGGCGTGTTGTATGACAAGGGCCATTACAAGGGCGTTTAGCTGCTCAGTTTGACAGGAGCAGTCGCTTTGTGCGCGCGGGGCATTATTATTATTATTTCACGTGAGGCCGCGCCGAGACCGCGCCCCAATAGATTTATAACGAAACACAATCAAGCCAGGCATATTTTCATAACGCCGCCGCCGCTTCTGCTTCGGGAATATATTCTAATACTTTCGGACGAGCGAGGGCCTCATCATTCAGGCTCGTGTCACTCTGGGACGCATGGGCGGAAAAACACGCCCTTCCACCTTTTCCTCTTTGCCGGCGCAGCTCGCGTTTCACTCCGTTTCCGTTAATTATGCGGCGGCCCTTCCAGCTTTTCTCTCCAGGTATTTGTTCGAAAAAAACTCAAAAATGCCATTGAGTCATGATAGCACCTACGCAAATTCCACGGGCTAGATGATAAATCTGTCAATTTCGAACCAGGAAACGCTCTTGAGAGAGACGTTCTTTGTTCTTTCCTCCACATAATAAATAAATAAATGTTCATCATTAACTAAAAAGCATATATGAAAATATGATGCATTTTTTTTTTTAAATTAAAAAACTGAAAAGAACAGAAGAAGTTTTTTAATAATGTTTTATTTCATTTTATTCCAGAACAATGAAGTTATTTAAGTCACGTTTTTTTGAATAACCTTTTTTATTTTTTCTCTGCGTATAGGAATTTTCGGATGCACTGATTTTGAGAATATATTTAGTAAGATAAAATAGCAATCTCCAGGTTTTTCTCTATGCTAATTTGAAATGGTGTCGATTAAAGAGAATGGTATTTACATTCAGAGCATCAATGCAATCAATACTAAATAAATTTTAATTGCAATTTATGTATTAATACTCTACAGAATTAGCTGCAAGACTCAACAACTATTTCAATATTTGACCAAACTTATTTTTGATATTGTATATATGAAGGTTTTTCATTTTTTGCTTAATTGTTTTTGGGGAAATTTAATTTAACATCATCTTCTTAGAACTAATGACCAAAGAGTAAGTACATATTTATATTTTAAGTAATTTTCTATTTACTAAGAGGTTATATTTATTTATTTAAAATGATTTTTACAGTAAATTATTATATTAAAATGTGTAAGATGAAACAAATTTGACCAATTAATATAATTACAATTTTTAAAAAATAAATTATAATTTAGATAAAAAGTTAAAAACAAAAATGTTTAAAAATGCTTCCTTATTCATTATAAATTGTATTAAAAAAAAATAATTTTTTTATGGAAGATAAAATTTACAATCAACTAGTGAGTGGATGCGCGCCTATCTCAACCCACCTAACGCAAACTTTTAATTAAATTTTTTTTGGAGCATTAAAGAAATTTATTCTTGAACTTCATTTTACATTTTAAACTGAATCAGGATTTTATTGGCAAAGTACAGAGTAAGCGATAAATTCGTCGTCACAAATGTCATCGCACCATCCTGATGCAAAAGAGTAGGACACAAAACCGAGACAAATGGTTTCAGAGACCTCGGCCGCCAAGTCGGGTTCTGGTTCGATCCAATAAAAGCGTGTAATGGGCTTTTTTGAGACTTCCCATCGCCAATGTGTGGTGTTCACTCTCTCAGCACCAATCCAAAACCAATGTTTGGACAATTCTATCAGAAAATTCAATTATCAGCTTTTTCAATATATTAAAATAATAGTTTAAAAACCATCTTGATGTTCCTGCGCCCAAGTGTTGATTGTATCCCATTTGTTTTTTTCCTCAAAAGAAACGATGTCCATGTTTAGCGAATTGCAGAAGGCTCTTGCCTCATCCTTTTTGAAATATTGTGATACGTTTATATAGTACTGTTGTCCACCTATATCCACGTAGCCATCAGGAATTACTTCTGAAAAAGCGTCAAGCTAATAATTCCATTCCTAATTAATAAATAACGTCAAAATTCTTACTAGGATTTCCGACGCTTGCACTCAAAATGACCTAAAAATTTTGATATAATATTTCAAATGATTTATTATTTATCTACGAAGAAATGGATTATAATTGTTAATTATATTGATTAAATAAACCATGGGACCTGACACGTAATCATAAATACTACTTACACTAAATGTCGCCAAAGCTATAAGAGCCCCAAAAATTAGCTTCTTGCCCATGGTGTGATAGATTGAAAGTGTGCATATTGAAGTGAGACGTACGGACTTTTAAAGCGATGCACAATTCACAATACAAGATAAGACATCGCAAGTCATTTTGAAGTATATTAAAACGACGTCAACAACAAATATGTTTTTGAATTGAAGTAGAGATCACCAGTTTGAAGTGCTCGAAGAAGATAAGCATTTTTAATTTCAATGATAAATAATTTTACGCTCGCATTATTTTTTCCATCTTTTCACTTTATTTAGGATTGATATCGCTACTTTAGTACTGAAGTTTAAAAATAAAACAGTTGATTTAAATGTTCATTGTTATATGGAAGAAATTCAATAACAGCCAGTGTTTTATATGATGGAAAAGAGAAATTCAAAGAAAAAGCTTTTTATAGATTGAAGGTTGTTGTTTAAATGTACTCTGAAATGACTTGCAATGTGCTTATCTTGTGTTGTGAATTGGTATGATTTTTCACAGAAAATCGCTTACGCATAATTTATTACCTTGATTACCTTCCCTTTTTTATAATCAAGAGCATCCGAGAATCAGAAATTTTTTTACTTTCAACAACCTAAGCGGCGTTTTGAACCCGTCATCTCAGAGCCATGACCTATCTATAGAATAAATATTTCAAAATGAAACTTGAAATTGAATCTTTTGTTTAGGAGGCCGAGATAAACCAAGCAGCTCCTTATTCATTAAAGGCTCAAAATAATCTCCATTATTAATATGCAATCTTGCAATTGAATCGTAATTTCCTGGCCTTTGTTTCCACCCTTCATTTTATTAATTGCCATTTCATTAAGCAGAAAATAATGAATCGCTTCAACTCTGATTTGCTATCTCATTGTTCCAATGCGTGTTTCACAATGGTCGCTTTCAAGTCGAGAGAGACATACAAGGGACGCTCTTTTTAATCCCCGGTGCTATTTTTCTTTCAATTTGCATCTTAATGTGCCATTCTGCCGCGAGTATGAGATGCACACTCACTCTCTTGTACTCGAGTATTAACGGGGATTTGAAATGCGATTATTGGAATATCAATCGTGTGGGACTTGTGTGCATGATTGGGATCCACGCCTTTCGCTTCTCTTAGATTATACAACCACGGCTTTCTGCTTTTTATTTGTATTTATTATTTTTCTCTTTGCAGTACACGTTGCAAAATAATGTGAAAAATACAATCCTGCAGCGTTGAATTATGAAACTCGACCAGCCTGAACAGAAAAATTGTTTATTGTTTGCAACGCGAATGTTTTTCGGACACTCGGTGTAAATTGTATGCGTACATTTTTAGATTTCCAGCCGCTTTATGTACAGTTACAGCCTTCGGACGCAGAGAGCTTTGGAGATAAGAATCGGCGCGCGGCACTTAAACTTGAGTGAGAATAAAATAATTGGCCGCAATTGAACTGGTGCTGACGACCGAACTTTCCAACTCGCATTTCCGAGAAGGAGCGACTTGAAATTAACTGCGATCATTTGTAATGAAAAATGCACACTTTTGCTTAAACCAACATACTTTTTTTTTCAAATATTCTTAAGGTTAGAGAGCCTTAGTTTGATAAATTAATCAAAAATAAATAGTAGAAAAAATAAAATTAATCTTTGATATTTTACTAGACTAATTTGATCCCATATTTCAGAAATTTCTGGGTGTGAAAAACAAATCGTTAATTTCTGTCAAGCCCTGGGCTCGGCGCCGACCAATGGACCCAACGACCATATCTTATAAACCAGAGCTGAGGCTGAACATCTTTGGAGCAAGATTCCTGGCAATTAACACTGCATTTTGATTGCGGCGCAGAGAGCGCTTCATTTGCTGCTCGTTGATTAGAATTTCCCAGAGGAATGCATTCTCTGAGCATTGTGCCTCCGCGTGGCGCCGCGGGCTAATGGGCGGTGGGCCATAAATCAGCGGTCGTTACACGCCGAATAAACGAGTGCATTTTTTTCATAGCTATTATTATATATGTTTACGACACTTTGCCAAACAAATCAACAATCAAATTTATATGCTTAACAGCTCCCCATTAATTACCATGCGCTCTTTTTTAATTCCAACTCGCTGCCGGACATGCTTTTTGCGGCCGCCTGCTTTCACGTCTTGTATAATTATTTCGTATTAATTATAATCCTAATTTGACGCTTTTCCTATGCCCGATTTTTCTTCCATGTGGAGGAAATAACATATTTCAAAAGGTGCGGTGAGAGAGAGAATCCTGCAGCAGAAGAAGTGTTTTAGCGCCGCTCAGCAGAGAGCTAGTTTTGTTATCGCTGATTATTATCGCCTGCAGTAATTAATTTTGGCCAAGTGTTGACGAGAGACCTTGTTTAAGAACCTATTTGCAATGCTGATGATGGAGTGAAAATTAATAATAATAAACTTTATACTTTCCCTGAGCTCAATTTTTAATTACTTTGAAAAGATATTTAATACATTATTCATTCAAAAAGTAACTCTTTGATCTTGCCTGCGTGAGAGACATTAATTTCTTCCTCTCTTTCTTTATGTGACCGAAAGTTTGTGCATTTGCAAATCTTGTAAATCTGGCGCTCTTCGAGGAATCCGGTGTTATTTTTCCAGCAAAATAACTTGACTGCTACAAGCAAAAATACGCGCTCGAGCGGTCAGTTCAAAGCGGAGCACTTGATTTTTTGCGTAGAAAAAAATCAGATTACCGGCGCTGCTGGCCGCTGTTTTGAGCCGTAGATTTATAGACCCAGTATTGTACCAGCGGCAGCATCCATTTCGACCGGCTAGCCGCGACTCATTAGCCGGTAATAAAATCATTTCCTCGGCTTCTTTTGACGGCGAAAAAGAAGAAGGAGGTACACGCGTGTAACTTTTAAGTCTTATCAGCAAGAGGCATGCAGGAGTCTCGGAGCTGCAAAAAAAGCTGCTGTTTTGAATTCAACATAATGTCGTGGAAATTGAAGTGTGCGAAACGAGTTTTGCTATTTATGAATCAAGCAGGAAGCAACTTAAACAATAAATTACCATGATGCAAGAGAAAAAAATTATATTCAATTTGCAATTACGCTGGTAATAAAATAAGCTAAATAAAAAGCACAAATTATTGTTGTATAATAAACTAAATTCTTAATAATATATTAATACCTTTCTTTACTTCAGTTATTTTAAATAATTATAAATAATAAAATTCATTTACTCTTTTTCAAATATAATTTTTAAGATTCAATTCATACAATTATTTGATATTAAAGGGCAAAAATTTATTTTTATATTACTATATAGAGTATTTTTATTAATTAAGTATTTTTCATGGGCTTTAATTGACTATGAAGTTGCATCAAAATGCCATATATTCCATTGATTTGAGGAGCGTGGAGCACAGATGAGATAGTATTAATTTAAAATCAAGGGGTAAATTTGCACCAAATATGAACTCATTGAAATTACTATTTCATTTTCTCAATTTACGTATATAAATTAAATAAGAGTTTGAACAGTTTAGAAGTTATTTAAAATAAAAAGAAAGCTTTTATGTTTTATACATTTTTTTTTATACGTTCACGAGTATTTGCCCATGTAAATGACAAATTTTGATGCATGCCAAGCAAACGAAGTTAAATGCGATTGCAAGTGCGCGTGGTCCATTTGGCGTCTTGAGAGATAAAACGAACATTGAAGTCCATCAAGCGAGCAAATGATTTTATCCTTTTGCCGGCGTGTGTCATATTTTATGTATTGTGTACATACACACCGGCCCAATGCAAAAGCGGAATAAATCAAACACACTCACACACGCGATTGAAGTGTCAAGAGCTAAAAAAATCGGCGCTTGAATAATTTATAACCATCGACGCAATTGTCACGCTCGACTGGTTCGGTTCTTTCGGTGGCTATTTTTCACAGGACTGAAAGAAGGAAAGAAAGCGGTGCAGTAGCCGATTTGATAAATGCACGGCGGACGTTGATGGATTCGGATTTGGCGCTGGCTGGCCGTCATTAAGCGCGCCTAATGGCCGACCACACACGCACTCGTTTGTTTCGCCAGGCACCAGCCGCCCGCGGCCTGCAAATTATTAAAAAAACAGAGTCCGTACTCGACCACCACAGCTTGCTCGCGGACTAACTTGACCCGCCGAGAGATCACATGCGAGCGAATTATCATATCACCGCGCGCAATAGATATACAGCCGCTTTTCTTCTCCCCATTACTAAAAGGGTTTCGGCCCGATGTAAATTGATGTTATGGGTGAATAATTTTTCACTCGCAGATTTCTTTTGCGCGCAGCGGAGATTTCTCTTTGCTGGAAATGATACGGGCGGGCAGTTCATGTGTCCGTGCAAAATTTCCTCTGCTGATCCCCTTGCCTGTGTTAACTACTAAATTTTATGAAGCAGATTACATTTGTAGATAAACACGCTTTCTTATGAATTGATTAAATTATATTATGCAAAATAAAATTGTTTAATTGACCTCATAACTAACTACCGCAAGGAAGCCAAATTGTAATTCAAAGTTGCCTATTTTCACTTAGTTAGTTTTTGAAAACAATTAAATTTGAATGTAATAATATTCATAAATGCTCATTTTTGCCTTTGACAGTAAAAATATTGGTTAAAAAAATTTAAATGCAACAGTATAAGCTTAATTTTCAGACGTTTCAGAGTACAATTTCAATTTTTCTTTTCAACATATGTGTTATTTGATTAGTAGTTTATTGTCTGTATTGAAATGAGAACAAATAAATAATATTTTTTTAATTGATTCCAGTAGTTTCCTCGATATTGAATTATTTCTATCATTGTCGCAACTATTTCGATTCTACTACACTAATGCTAGCAGACAGATTTATAATTTATAGCTAATATCCTCTTTGTGTTATCCCAAACTAACGCTCAACAAATCAAGCCGGATAGAACACGCAGAACACGACACTTTGCCCATCTTTTAGATTCAATCTCTCTTTCTATCCCAAACAAGCCTCGCTTTTTTATTGACAAAAGAAATTTCACCGAACGTGGCGAATCGTGGGTAAACAAAAAATTAAAAGCCGATGCGTCACTACGTGGCTGCGGCAGACAAAAAGATGGAGCGAGAGAGATAAAAACGAAAGGGCTGTGACGGCGAGCATAAATAAAATTTGTAGCTCGATCACATTTCTAGCCGAAGGATGTTGGCGCGGCGAGTTCTGGTCGCGTGTGGCGCCTTAAAAGGGCATGGTGGTGCGTGGGCCGCGCGGCACCACGCCAGACCCATCTCCGCGAGGCCCACCAGAGCGCCTCTTATTACACACGGCGCGCGTGCATTGTTGAAGGCACCTGGACACATTTTTCAAACTCTCTTTCTCACAATGCACTGCTCCTCGCACAAGGTAAATCACAAGAGCACTCGTCGTCGTCCGCTTGCATTATAAAAGGCCTGATTTGCATCTGCGCGAGAGAGTAAATAAATAAATAATTCTCTCGGTACACTTGAGCTGAATATGCAAATTTCGTGTCATTCCGAATAGGCGTGTGTACAGGCGACTTTAATGAGCGACTCTTTAAATATGGCGTGTGTGTGCAAATAACGTTGTGTGAAATGAGAAATAAATCTTGGGCTTTGCAGATATATATGCATATTTATTGCCGCAAATTTATTACTCTATTTTATTCTTTTAGCTGGAAAAGTGAGAAGTTCGGCCGTGCGCGTATTTTATGAAGGGAGGTGCGCACAAGGAGCGTAAATGCGTAGGGCTGTTTATCTGTGCACTAATTTATCAATGTTTTATATATAATATAATATTTATGGCTTTGTATGTTTTGATGGAGGAAGTAGAAGGTTGCTCAAAGGAAAAATCCTATGAGACTGCAATTATTGAATAAATTTTAAATTTGAATTAAAAATTTGCAAAATAAAAAAGGTTGATTGTGCTGGATTCCAATTTGATATTAATGCAAAGAATAAGGGCAGAAACTTTTGAATTAAAATTTATATTACGATATAATTAAAAAAAAAATTGGGTAAATTTTTTTTTTTAATCAATTAATTTAAAACGACAACTGTTTTCTCCCAATTTAGATCAAGTAGCCCTCATGCATCATTAATCATTTTGCAAAACTCTTTTGAGAATATAATTTTCATAATTTTTGTAAAGCTATGCAACGTGCTAAACGTGAATGTAAAGAAAGGTTGCTTACACAATCACATACATGCATTTTATGTCCAAATCTTACAAAAAGAATATTTTTTAAATGCAACCTTTTTTTTATCTTTCAAATTCCAAAGAGGTTTTATTTATTCTGCAAAATATACAAAATATAACATAAAATTCTCCTACCCCCTTCTCCACCTCACAATGCCCACTCCCCTTTGAACTTTGGACTCTTCCTGTCCCTTCCCCCTCCCTTCTAATTTTTGCTGCAACTGTGACGTCTGTGATGTGTGTATTTGTGTAAAATAAGAAATAACTGTGAAGTTGTAAACTGTACAGTCATTCAGTCATAATCTGAAATTTGAATTCTGCAGTTAGCAGTGTTTTTTTTCGCATTTTGCAATCATGTCTGAGAGTTGCCAGAGTATCAATGCGGAAAAGAACAACCTCGAGACCCTCGTTGGTCTGCTGATGCACGACTGCCACGAACTGGTCAATCGCCTGGACGATCTGAAATTCCTCAACTACAAAATCTTCGCTGAGGTGTGGAAGGAAATGCGCTTCTCCATGATCTTCTGGTAAAAAGTGGTTTTTCGCCAGCGTTCATTATGTATTTTGATTTGCATTCAGGCGTCCAACCCTGGATTCGGCCCTCGAGAACGCCGAATTGGTGCTGCTCGTGGCCAAAGACATGGTTTTGCCACCGCACTCGCTGTCTCGGCGACTCTGTGCCATGTATTTGCTCTACGGCGTTTACTTCAAGCAACCTGGAGAAGATTTCTGCAAGTTCAAGGTATAAGAAAATAAATTCTCATCAAAATAATTTATTTTTATTTTATAAGTAATTTAATTTTCATTTGCAGATCACTCATGAGGAGTGGGTGGATTTAGACCAATTGGTCAAGTTCTGTGTGAGGGAGGAATTGAAGGAGCATGTCTTCATCTTTTGCAAGCTGATCGAGCGGGAGGCTTTTGAGTTTTGCATCAGCCCAATTGACGTAATTTCAGATATTATTTTCCGCCTTAATTTTACTGTAAAGAGATTTTTTAGCTGGTTTCTGAGAAGCACGTGGAGTTGGTTCGCTCCAAGTTTGTGGAGATCAATTTGCCATCGGGTTTGGACATCAGCAAGAAATACAAGGTTGAGAATTTACTCCAGTCCCCCCTGTTGCAAGAACTGGCGGCCATTGAGAAGGAATACAACAACAATGATTCCATTGGTATTTTTTTTTTAAATTTAAATATAAGCTAATTTAAATAACTTTTTAGTTTTCACTGGTGACTTGGAGCCGACTTACGATCTTGCCACTCACCTTCGCAAGATCTGCATCTCCAAGTCTCGGAAGGAAGCTGAGGACACTCTTGAGCTCCCAATGGAGAGGCCTCAATCTTCTCTTGACAATCTCAGCATTTCTCTTCCCCAAACTGTCAGCAAAAATGGAAGCAGCAAGAGAGGCCCAGGGTCCATCATGTCGGTCTCAACCTTGCCAAGTAAGTTTAAAATTTTAAATGAATTCTTTTTTGAATGTAAACTTTCTTTGTAGCCGATGGAGCCATTGCTATGGAAAACATGCAGCTGCCTAAGCACAGGACCAAAAAGCCAAAGGGCTATGCCATCTCAAGCAGAACCAAAACTCCTGCAGAATTGAGTATTCTTTTGCCTCCAAAGTAAAAAGGAAAAATGTTCAAAATAATGTACTAATTTAATGATCAAATAGGGGATACGAGTACATTCATTCAAGGAATAGCAGGACTTTGTTCAAGAAAACTGTTACTCATGTGGACAAGAAGAAGATAATTAAGATCTCTCCTAAAAAGAAGAAAGTTTCTGGTGGATCAACAGGTATAAAATCTGTACAAAATTTAAAAAAAAAACTATAAAAAAATTAAAATTTCAGTGTCCTTTGGCAGTGAAGCCACTCAGAGCAGCATTGCCACTGCAGACACTTTGCTCAGCTCAAATCAAAGCATGCCGTTCTTGTAAGCCGCCAAGGTAGGAAGAAAGAAAGGAAGCAAACACAATATTTTATTTTTCGATATTATCTCGTCGGTGTCAAAATTTGGAGCAGCAAACAATGGAGGCTGCTCCTTTGTTCCTGTGGTGTTAGAAATACATTTTAATGCTCTCTTGATTTATTTGTCCGAGCGAATGAAGATATAGAAATGGGTGTGAGTTTCGGAAAAATGAGACCAGCAGTGCTGATTAATTGAATTCCTGCCACACACGCAGCCTCAGTCCCATTGTTTTTGTGCTCCGAATTTTGACTGTGCCCGAGATAATCTGCGAGTGTACAAGTCGCACTGCAGAAGCATAAATTAGGCCGTTATCTGCGTGGTCTGATGGTGATAATAGGACAATGATGCAGGTGTGCGGCCACCAACGCCTGGCACTCCGCCCACAGAACCACCGCCTCAATTTGCAGCTGCTGAATTCAATTTGAATGTTTCCTATTCAAATTTGTTTACTTTTAATAAGAAAATTAAATCAAACTCATTTTCTCTTTATTCACTTAAAAGAATTTAAAAAAAAAATCGAACTTTGCATTTCCGTCAGGATTCCATCCCGCCCTTTAATTTTGGCGAAGAAAAATTTGGTAAAAAGTGTCACAAGTTTGATTTATGCGCCGTAATAAAAGGCCAAAACTCTCGAGATAGGATTTATTGTCTGTCGCATCCTAGGCGTTCACAAGGTTCGCCACCAACGCCGAGGTCCAAATGCAGGCACCGTGATTAATTCGGGGGCCTCGCCCTGTCCATCCACTTCTTGCGGCCCCACCCCCCTGTGGAATTACAAGTCAATTACGCGGTGCGGACGCCTCGCGCACGCATTCCACCGCTTTTCGTGAGACTGCGGTTTTGCCCATTATGTCGCGCGCGCCGCTTTTTTCCTCGCCGCACACACACACACTTTCTCACACCGCCGTTTGCGGTTGATTTTGAGAAAAACGTGTCTCTCTATGAAATTCCAATTCTGAATCAATGATAGGCAAGACATCAAGCGCGAAAATTGTTGTAAAGGAGTGTGAGCTGTGTGAGATGACCACAGAGTAACGGAAACAGCTATTTCCTTTTTTTTAACATTTTTTTCAAATAAAAAAAATCTTGCGAGATTAAATTTGTATGAATCTTATAAATGAAATTGTTGAATATTTCATACCAGCGCTTTTTTATTATTTTATTTAATGATGAGCTATTCTTTCTACCCTAATAAATTTTTTAATTTTTCCCATTTTAGATAAAATTCATTGTGATATTTGTGATTGTTATACAAAACCTGGATTGATATTTTTACGCTGGCCGTTTGATGTATTTGACTTCCTTTTATGAAAGTGATTTATTTTATGCATATTTTAATGTTTTCCCATCTGCTCTTTTTATAACTTCTACGTCGGTCTCACATTGAAAAAATAATAACACATAAGAAATGAATTACTGATTTATTAGGCACTCTCTTGCATAAATCTTCAGCTCTTCCTTTGATCAATATAAAAAAGGCAAGCGCATTAGTAATTCAAAACACAATCATTACGCAAGTGGGAGCAAATTTATGGCCCCCGCGCGAATTTCAATATAGCAGGGCACGCAATCGATCCCGGCCTTAAATGAAAAGTCGGTACTTTTAAGGAGCATAAACGCGAAATTAGCAATCGCCCATTTAAATTTTATGGACCTGTTAAGGTGTAAAATATAATATAACGCAGTACAAGAGATGAAGAATCGCCGCCCCTGGCGCGGAACGTGTAATTTCTCACCGACGGAATTTCTAATCAAGCCGATTTATTCGACTGGTCATTTTCTAATTACGGCCCAAGAGGTGCGCATTTCGCGGCGTGGGCTGCGCTGAATATAAAATAAAGGCGCGCGTCCGATCGAGCAAGCCCAGGAGCAGCGACGCGTCTCCCTGCCCGTGTAATTACACGTGTCGCCCACTTATTTGTGCCCAATCGGGCCCGACACTTAATGAGACGGCCGCAGCCTCTGTCCTGATTAATGGGGTGCTTCGCAACAATGAACTCTGCAGAGCCGATTTCCACACCAACCGCACCCTCCGAAAGAAAGGCAGGAGCTCCTTTTTATTATTATTACATGAGTTCGTCACACATCATTTTTCACATCATCATTATATCAATTTTAATCATTAGAATTTTCATACATAATGGAGAATTTTTCATTAATGAAATGGATTTTTATTTCGCTCTCATATAAAATATCATAGGAATTCGAGTCAATTAATGGCTTTTTAAGTGGAGAGCAAAAAATGCCCTCGCTCTCGCCAGCACATACCAATTAATTAAAGTGAAACAAACTCTGATTACGCGGCCAAAACTTTGAAACGCGCGCGCAACTCGGTTCTCAAAGGCATTCTTCGCGCCGCTTTTTTGTGCGTTCTCTCTCGCGCTGCCTGCAATTTGATCAGCGCCGATAAAAAGGCGAAAAGACTGCAGAAAAAGTGGAGATGCCTCAATGGGGCCGTGAAAAATTAGCTTGGTTTTTTGCCGGCTCGCCAGAAATGAAATACGATCTGAAATTTCGCAATAATACCGTCAGCTGTGAGCAAAACTAAACCCAGCCAGCAGCAAATTTATTAAATGTATTAAAAGAATTCCTAAACACAGGTTATAGAAATAACACTAAATCAGTTGAGCATTAGCAACAACAGTTTTTCATTGAAGCCTTTTTTAATTTTTTAATAATTTATTTTTCATCTGGCATTATTGGGCCTTTTAATTTTATTTTAATTTATATTTTTATTTAATATTGTTTAACTTTTATAAGTTTTATTAAGGTTAGTTTTGTTATAACATAAGCAAAAAAGTTTTGTTTCTGCAAACGATAAATAATTTATAATAAACATGAACCGAGCTGAGTGCGTAAAGAAACAAAATTAAAATTACATAAAGTGAATGATTTTAATTTGCGTTTCTTGATTACATATTATTAAAAAAATTAAACTTAATTGAATTTTCTCAAAAAAATAATTTTGTACAAATAGATCTTATAGAAATTTTTCACACGTGAAGTCCTTTGTTTGTTTAAAACAATAAATATTTAAAAAGACCACAAATAGAAATAGGAGACCATCTAAAAAAATAAGCAAGTATTTAAATTTTAGATTAAAAAAATAATCGTTATCATCTAGAATAAATTAAATTAAAAATTACCGCATGATCATAACAATTAAAGAACGGCAGACATGAGAACAGGCAAAATCAATTGACTACAAACTTCCTGATTTTTTTTTCTCATCTCGTAATATATAAGTTGAAACACCAAATCCGACCAAATCAAAGGAAATCAGTAATGTGTTCACCGTGTGTGATAAATTTAGCCTGGCTCTCTCCGACAATTAACAGAAACCAGCATATTTATCTCGCAGAAAGTCGAGACGGGTTAGCTGTTCAACGTAATTTTCGCCTATCTATCTTATCGTTGAAGCGTGTCAATGCGCCGCTAAATTCCATCTCGGTTCTTCCAGAGACGGGCTAATTGACGCGCAGCGAATTTTGGCTAATAGCCGAGTGACAAGAAGGGCCAGGTCGTGTCCAGGCCCCGCTGAAATTGGCCGTCCATAAATCAATGGCCGGCTAATAACGGGGAGAGCAGCAGTAGCCGCGGGCCCAAACACTCGCTCTGACCGCTGAGAAAAAGACTTTTCGAGCCGCAGAGAGTGACCAGCACTTTCTTCCACATCTCTTCCTCGTTGCTGCTCGATTTGAATATTGCCAAATCCATAAAATTTAGATGGTCATTAGTTATGCTGGATCAAGTCGCCGACGAAAAAAATACTTCGGAGCATATGATTTTGCTGCCGTCACATTTTTTTTTCGACCGAAGATTTCTTTTTAATCTCATCGGCACAGGTGCTCTTTTAAATAATTGCTAAGAAATGCCCCGTGTCTTACGTGTTATTACCGAATGCAAATGGGTTTTGGCACTGCCGTTTTATTTATAACTCGTGAATATGCACGAAGCTCTCGCCGTGTGTGTCAAGCGACACGCGGAATGCAGACCGAATTTATTTTCTAATCTCCGGCGCGCTGCGTGAAATTTGGGTTAAGTAATTTCGCCGCGGCCTTTTGATTTCGAGAGTTTATTCATTTCTCACGGTGACAACCATGACTTAATTATCTGGGCGACCTGCTCCCTCGCCTCTCGCAAGAAAATCGTGTCATTGTGGCCACTCAAGTCTAAACTGTGCGAAGCGCCTAAAAGAGTTAAAATTTATGATAAAATATATTTTGCATTTTTTAAATTTCCGGCCTTGAACCATGATCAGTGGACTCTCAGGCGTTGCTAGATGGTTTCCTAGACCTATAGCCAGGGATCCAAAGAAGCAATCGTGTAAACTCCGTGTGGGTTCCTTTTGGATTCAAACTACCATAAATTTCTTTCAGGCGGGCAGTACTTTGCTGCAAGTGGTTCAAATTGTACCTATTTTTTAGATTTTCTTAGAGAAAACTTTATTAATAATTTTTATCTCTCATACTGGTTTCCAAAAACTGTAGTGCAATAAAGGAGGAAAAAGTCTAGTGAAACAAAATTGGGCCCCAGTGTGTTTCCAGTGGTGGCAAAATGTCCCAGTTCTGTGCACTGCTAGTACATCCATTGTTTTTCTATTCTCACAAATGCAACGTGACTACAGTCACCAGAAAACCAGTGTCAACCTGTTTTTTAATTTTTTTTTAACAAATTTATTAATATGTATTGGTCTTTTTTATGCTGCTCAGTGTGACATTCAAATTTTATGGTTTGTTAAAAGGAATGCCATACCTCATTGTGCAGCGCCCGCCGAATCTGTAAAGCAAACAGCCGCGAGGCACGCGAGTGGAGAATTGGAATCCAGTTGCTGGATTAAGACTTTAATGTCGTTAATAAGATAAAAAATTTATATATGTAGAAAATGAGTCCGAGAAACACTCCAGAACCGCTGTGTCTAACGCATTTTCTGACGAGGGCTGATAGCAATCCGATTAGCATTTTCATGAGGTGTCACAAATGGAACGGTTCATGTTGTATCC